CATAGAAATCCCAATTTTAGAATTCATCCACAACACTAAATTCAATCACAAATTATATAATCTAATCCAAAACACACCTTATGAGTTTGCAGTTGGCACTGAAGAACTAACCACTATTAAGGCACTTCAATTGCTTTGGCCACTGCTTCAGACTAAAAATATCATCCGCATCTTAGCTAAACTACTAACAAATTCCGATCTCATCCACGACATCTTCCCCCACGGTTTTTTCCCCGACGACTAACAGGTAAGTATGAATTAAATGAATATTACTAACTAATTAAAACATTAAAAACTCACCATTCTTTATCCATGTTTTCTTTAGATTTTTAGTCTTCATCCGACGATCACCTACAAAAACCACAAAAAACAAATAAAGATCGCAAATTTCATCAAACAGATTTCAACAATTCTATTAATCTCTTACACTTATAAATTTATAAATTTAATACCAATGCAGTAAATTCATTTCTAAAATTTTCCCCACAAGCAGTAAATCTAATTATGATGAAAATTTGTAACTTAAAATTCCCCCATAACTAGCAGTAAATTTCCAAATTCTATGCAGTAAATTAATAAGAAGCAAATGCAGTACTAACCTTTTGATATTCTCATTCATTCGCACAGAAATTCTATCCACACTCGCACAGCTCGCCCACGAAGAATTGTTTAAAATAATGAATTTCAGTTTCAAGTTTTCACACTAAACAACTCTAACATATAATAACATGTTTCAAACCTTCCTTTAACCCGGTTGGAAAGGAATCATATACTAAACAAAACTAACCAACGCAGCTTACTAAATACCACAAATCATAGAATAACAGCATGACTAAGAAAAGGAAACCAACGGTACCCAAACCGGATTAACCCAGTTTAAAACTGGATAATTTATTCTTTTGAAGACTATTATAAAGTCTAAGAAAGAAATAATAAAACACAAAAAAGTCGAAAGACAAACCCATACCACGAACAATTTGCTTTTTGGAAAAAGGACATAACCAACAAGACATAAGAAAAACCACAACAAACCCAACATAAAACGTTGTCACATAACAGGACCCCTCACAAAAACCGCATGAAATCATACTCCCACTCCTGGCCTAACCCACCAGGAAGGACGTCCTGAGCATGCTCTATAGCCGGCCTAACCCACCGCGCTACATCCACGCTTTGTGACCACACCTCTATTTTTAATAAGAGCTACTCAAGTGTGAGTAACTCTTCAAAATAACCGAACTAAAACAAAAAGCTTTTGTGAAAACAACTAACTAAAATCATAATTAAAAAATATTAAACTAATAAATGTTTTATAAAATGTAAATTACATTATGCAATACATAGATCAGAATACAACACCAAGGACGAACATCTAAAGACAAAACGACCCCACTACACTCGAGAGAGAATGACCAACCACAATCGATATGCCACTCACAATCACAACTCAAAGGATTTAGAGTACGACTTGACTTCGCAGAAAAGGACTTCATTGAACTAGACCAATGACCACCTCGATGTTCAAGTATACGTACAGATCCGAGTAACCAGGCATCCCCTCCACGCACAATCTCCACGCAGAACAGAAAAACCTGACATAGCAAACCATTCTGAAATCAGATTTGAGTTTGTTGCAAAGACTTAGTCGTTGTCACTAGAAGACACAACGTCTTATGTCTCTAACTCCAGCTTCCTGGAATTTCTTTAACAAAGAGGAAACAAAAGAAATATGATGTTCGCCAAACACCAACGTCCATCATCCATCCTTCGAATTGCAGAAGAACTATTCTAAAAAATTCTGTAAAACCCGGATGGGTGGAACCTGATCTAAACTACATTTTATGATTGGATAATTTAGATATTTTACCAATGTAAAGTATTTAATATTAACCAATCATGATCCATCTAACTAACAACCCACTTATTTGTAAGTGCTGAAGTTACTTGTAATTTCAGCACCAGAGAGATTTGAATTTAACTTAGAAATTAGTTGGACTCTCCCGAGCACTTCAGCAGCCGCAATAAACCAGTATACCCTAGATCTATTGAGCCTAGCAGAGACTAGTTAAACAACCTGAGACTAGATAGTATAAGAGTAAGATTAGGATCGGTATTAGACTAAGAAGTTGCACGAATCTATCCGGCCGAAAATAAGATAGCGTGACGAGCAGACGGTGTACCCTATCCGAAATTACTCTATGAGTTAACCAACTCGGTCCTAACTCAATGCAGCAAAATTCGAATTATAAATAGAACGATCCAGTGCTAATTTACTGCTTTTATTTATAGGGAACTGTGGCAATTGTCTAGGAGATACCACAGGGGAATGGGTTGTTAAGTAGAGCCCATTTATGTTCCTAAAAAACACCTGGGATATATTTTACACCCCTGGGGGTGGCTCTGTTTTTTTTCGAGTAGGGTATCCCTTTTTTCAACTTTAAAATTGTTCAGTTGGCGCATATTGGTGACGAAAAACCACTATTGAACAATTTGATCATAACCGCGAAATTTCACAATTATTTAGATTTTATGACAAGAGGTAAGTGGACCAATCATTTCACTGAAGAATAGTGTGATGCAAATATTTTTACAGTTATGAATTGACTAGAAACGCTCATGGAAAAACAGAACTTTAACAAACTCCTGAAACTATTGGGCTCAAAAACATTCATCGTAACTATTGTAGAAAAAATATACTTCATTATTCTCGCGTGTCTTAAAAGATTTCTTTGGGAAACGTTTTGACAATAATCATCTTAGAGTTATCAAACGCCAATTAGTGTTTTTGACAGAAAACAAACAATAACGATAGAAGATTTCATGTTTTGTTGTTTCGTTTCAGAATCAGGCGTGTGGGCGTGACAAGCTGAAGAAAAGAAAACAAATATGTCTCAACGAAACTGCTGTTCTGTTTTCAATAAAACTGAAAAAAAAATTACTTTGACACGATATAAAAAGTAGAAAACGTCGTTTCAAGCTGGCATGCTTTGGTAGATGAAGCAGTGTGAATGTATTCACAAAAATGAAAAAATCGCTCAAAACCAGATTATACATGAAAATATATGTTTGGTCGCATATTTATCATAAAAGCATCATACTCAAAAACCGCACAATTGCCCCCTTCCCTTTAAACAAAGACATTGAGCTACGAAAATGAATTTTGGAGCAATTTTTTAATTTACATCATTGAGACAAGAAAAACAGTGTAGAAAATCTACAATATTGATTCTTCTTTTTACGCGGCTATAACTTAAAGTATTCATCAGCTGTAAAAACATCATCGGTTCTCATCAACATTGTTTAAATTTTATTGTAATTATCTTGCAATTTATATTTTATTGTTTCGACAATTTTCGAAGAAAACAGACGTGCTCTTATATCAGGACAAAACCCTGAGTGTTCCGACTGCCCCTTAATCTTTATTAAATAGTTTTTTGGGAGAAAAATACTGAAACACTAAATTTTGGACAATGTCAAAGGTCAAGTATGAAAACTTGTGTCGTACGAAAATAATGCGACCGAAAATAATGCGACCGAAAGCTAGCCTCAATTCAATTTGGAACGATTTTGTTGCGCGCGATAGTTTGCCACGCACGAATACTTCGCGTTACGTTTTCAGGATTATGGAAAAAATCTTAAAAATGTGCATAATTTAGTCAAGAGCATGGCAATATTCCAACTCCCAAAAAGTTGCAGAAATTGATCGAACGAAAATTATGTTGTTAAAATTGATTTCAGGGATTCGATATCTTCAATGGGGCATATGAATTCTTCATTGGAAACTATTATTTCGACTTTTTAACAAGCAATTTTTGACAAATTTGTTCAATATCATTCAAAGAGTATTGTTGTCCTGAGCTGAAATTTAAAAAAAAATTTCACTTGTCACTTTCAAGAAGTTATGAGGGTTTGAACATTGCCAATTTGGCCAGTTTGAAACAATCAACTAGCGATATATTTTGCGCTTCTAAAGTGTAAGCAGAGATGTAATTCGTCTTAGAAATTGTTCCATACTGGTTGAAGGAAGCTTATTTGCCATAATTGATTTGTTACTAGAAGCGAAACCTAACACTTTGTACTCTATGTGGCGTGTTGATGTTTTTTCTTAAAAAATCTCAATTTGTTTTTTCAGTTTTTATTATTTTTTAGAAAGTTCAACAGTGTTTCAAGTGAATACTACTCCATAGACCTTGAAATGCAGTTTTTTACTGAAATTTTTTTACTGAACCATATAATGTTTTAATTATTTTGGCATAATGAAACTCAATGCTTACCAATGTTTCGAAAAAATTTTTTACGCTTGAAATAACCAATAAGCAGTAATGTATGAAAGTTTACTTGAATAAGAAATGAGAAAAACTGCTCGTGCCTGGTGAAGCTCTGAAAGTTCCGACTGCCTTTTAAGGTCTATGAAGTAGTGTTTGCTTTCCGAAAAATTGATTGATGTAGATTTATGTAGATTGATAGAAATAAACTTGTTTTTTGAGATTTTTGTTGAAAACGATCCCCCAAATAAAGTGCAAAGTCATACTTCGCATGCAGCAAAGTATTGAATAGATCAAATAGCTTAACTCAATTTCATTTGGGTTCTGTTGTCAAATTTGTTATTGATATAGTTTCTTGTGCTAAAACAATTCCTCTCGTCTTCTTGTTCAGCAAAAAAGTCTTCATTTTGTATGCTAAAACATAAAATATAAAAAATAACTACAAAAGAAACTGTCACTTACAGCTTTGCGATCCTCTATGACTAGTTTTTCGTTCAAATCTTTATTAAAACAAAAATCAGCCTCCTTCATTTAAGAAGATCACATCATATTATAAAAAAAATTTGTAAGGATATGGTAATGAAGGGCCTTGAAATCATAAGATTGGCTGCGCATCTTTAACTCCCTACCACCCCCCCCCCCCTTAGAATCCAGTAACATTTTGTCATTCCATAAAAAAACTAATTTAACGTCTAATTTTTTGTTAATTTCGTACTTAGTAATGATGTTCCCCTTTATAAGAGAAATGGGGGGATAGTTAAAGAGCCCCGATTGGTTCTATGGTCCAAGATTGTTTCTACACTTCTACACTGAGATTCCACCTGAGATCCTAGTCTCAATCAGGGCCTCATTGACCCCCCTTCGTATTCTGAAGAATCCCTTCTCCCCCCAATATCGACCCCAGCTGTTGGCACAGATCCAGTAATCGGTCCCGTTCTCTTTGCCCCAGCCCAAAATTTTGACCGCATGGTATCTACTGAAGCATCAAATAAAACGTTAAAATGAACCGTACAGATACAAATTGGTCGCGAAATAGTCGCGAAAAATTAGTAGTTATGTTCTAAATTTAGTAGCAGCATAGTCTCAACTTTTTTGTTTTTCTTACTTTTCAAGTTGATTGAAAAGTGATTCACGTGAAAAAAAATCCAACGCCTAAAAACTTAACATACTGACAAGAACGCCGTACAACCCGGGTCGAGGTCCGATGTCCTCGACTAATATTTTGACTATGACGATCCCGTCGATGTTAATTCCGCGACCGAAAAACCACCGCAACTGAGGGAAACCAGTTGATAATTCTACGGTAGATCATATATTAGGTGAACGTGCAGGGGGTGATTGAACAAAATATAATAATAAACGGATGTTTTTGAAAAAAAAATTGACGCAGAAGACGGATGCTATGATGCTTTTGGGGCATGCTATGATGTGCTTTGGTGCAAATAGAGAATTTGCGATCTCGAAATATCCATTCCTAATAGGCTCCGAACTCATTGAGTTTCTCTATATTGAGGCATACGGACAGATTTTATTTTTACAAAAATTGACAGATTTGGTCTTACCCGCACTGACAAAAATAGATTAGGATCGGTTTTAGTATGAAAAAAGTACGTTGATTAAATTTAGATCGATTTTAGTATGAAAAAATTACGTTGATTAAATTTAGATCGATTTTAGTATGAAAAAAAACGAAGATTAAATAAACAAGATGAAGATTGATTTGGATCGAATCTTAATTCCCAGCTAAAAAAATTGATCGAAATCGATTTTAAATCAATTTAAAAGCATTTTTTTTCAGTCTGAAATTGTTTTTATTTTTAAGGGAATTAAAACGGATTAAAATCGATTTAAATCGATTTTTTTTCATTCGAGATTTATCAGTTTCGAATTTTTATTGCATTTGTTCATTGCCTATCATTTTTCATTTTACATCCATAGCGTATTGTAGCATAAAAAAGACCGAACGAAAAGACCAAAATATCGATAAAATTCTATAATTTTTGTGCATACTTTGAGTTCAAAAACTGATCTACAATGATCCTTTTCTTAACTTCTTTTATCCGAAATTTTGACCAAAATCTGATATAACTTCAAAATTTTCTATGATTTAATTGCATATTAATGAAATCAAATTTTAATTTTTTCTGACCCTTTTCTTCTTTGTTACATAGGATTTACAATAATTTTCTATAATTACACTGCCTAAAATCGAGCTTAAAATCTGATTTATGTGGATAATTTTATTGAATTTTAGAACATATGGCACGAGTGTTTATATTTAAAAAATCGAGAATAAAAAATCCAACAATTTTTTAAAGGATGTTTTTTTCACCTTGTTAGCAAAAAAATTGGTTTTAGTGGGTCTGAAAATCCATCCAAATCGATTTAAATCGATTTTCTAGACACTTCAATCGATTTAAAATTTTCAAAAAGATCGATTTAAATCGATTTAAAATGGATTTAAGTGAGTTTCGGATGGATTTTAGTGAGTCGGAAAATCCATCCAAATCGATTTAAATCGATTTTTTAGACACTTAAATCGAATTAAAGTTTTCAAAAAAAATCGATTTAAATCGATTTAAAATCCATTTAAGTTCGTAAAATGTACATTGTTAATCGATTTCGATCGATTTAAAATCGATTTAAAATCAATTTAAATCGATCCGAAACCATTTTTGTCAGTTCGGGTATGTTGATAAACCAGCGGATATTGACCCGTTCATTAATTTGTTTGCTAATATTTTAGTACTTGATTGCTTTGGAAGGTTTATTGTCCAACGTTGATTTAATACGTCTTAAATAATGATAAAAAGCAAACTTTAAGTTAATATGAAATGAGCAAACTAATTGACTAACAACAGATTAGGAGGACGCTATGAAAATTTAGGTCTGTTTTCAAGTGCCTCAAGGAAAAAATGAATCTAGCGTTCTGCTCGCATAGTGAGATTTACAGCTGCTGAAAATTTTGTTTTTTATCGAGTTGCACAAGTCGAAAGAAAAACATTCTTAGAAAAAGTAACAATTGTAAAAGAAGTACATACTTCCTTTGCCTTGAATTTTCAAACCTCAAAAACGGCCTTTTCATCCAAGATTTAATTTTCTAGAAAAAATGTGTGGTTAAGAACGTTAATTTGATTTTTTGGTTGCTGGAGCAACATTTAGTTACTTTTTCTCTATGAGCTTGAAATTTCTATTTGAGTCAATATGTACTTGCAGATATCTAAAAAATTGTTTTTCTTCAATTTTATTTTCTTGATATTCCAATTGATTGTTTCAATTTTGTCGCCATTTATGACTGCTTGATGTACGTTTGTTAGCTTTGGGCATTTTTCGATAGTTTTATGGACCGTGAAGAATTAAGTTATTTTTGCTTTTGTTTTTATCGACAGACAAATCATATTATGAAAACCAAGGGACCTAAAACTGAGCCTTGCGTACTCTATTTTCAACATTTATCATCAAAGATTTGTAATTTTTGATTTCTTTATATTGCACACAATCTGATAAGTACAATTTAGAAATTTTGTTTACAGGTTCTCGTGAGTCCGTCATAACATGGAGTTTTTGAAAAAAAAAATGGAACGATGCTTGTATCAAAAAAAATTTCAAACGAAAATTTGCACTGTATAATTGAGTTGGGATAGATTAATTTTTATTTTCTAGGAGCGAGACAATTGCATCTACGCGCTCCGCTTCTCCCGGAACGCTAGTTGTTTATGTGACAGCATGTCAAAGTTTTTAACAAACTTGACAGTTAGCAGTTTTTATCTTGATCGTTCAAAAGTTCGAATGTAATTAGTCTTAACATTTCTGGATGTTTTTTTGCCAGCTGTATGAATTGGTAAAGTTTTTGCAGTTTTTAAGCTGGAAAATCTCATGTTTTAAAAAAATCTTCAAAAATTTTTAATTGGATCACCAACTGTTAGTTTTACTTGTTCTACAAAGATTAGTAGTCGTTATAGCAGTCTGAGCTATATTTTTTATTGGAGATATGAATAGCATTTATCATCTCTTGAAATAAAATTTTTCTAAAAATTTTAATTTAGTTCACTCTGTAAGTGTGATTGGCATACTACTGGTTTTTTGTAATAAAACATTTCGGATGGTTGCATTTTGAAGTTTTCAGCATTTTCATCACAAACTAGATTTAGTGGACTGGCTAATTTGGTCTCTCCTTTGAATTCACTCAAGGCCTAAAAAACTCACTTTTTTGCCAAATTTGTGTTCATTCTTTTGTGCATAGTAATTTAGTTTTTTGTCGGTCACCATTTTCGTGACAAAAATAGGTTGTTTTTTTTTTGCTACCAAATCAGCGTTTAATTTAGATTTTAAAAATTTTAGCTCAAGTTTTAATGGGGCAACTTGCTTTAACCTCAGGGTCTTATCATATTATATTGTTTTTCTTTTTTCTTTTCAGTGGGAAAAACTTGAGGTCTATCAGAGGGTCACAAGTTTCTGTTTTACTGCTTTGCCCATTTTTTTCTCAAGAAAAAAGTGTCTCCTTGCATTATTTCTGCTATTTAATTTTTCACTTGTGTTTTTCGAAAATAACATTTATGTTGAAATTGTCGCATATAACATACTCAGCTGTAGTGCTAAAAAAAGTATTGTCAAGGTGATTTTCTGATTTGCTAAGAGTTTCGTCTAAACAGAATTTGTCGGTAAGTCGACAACTGTTACGTTTGTTTTTTGTTTTCAATTCGAAGTTTTCATTACTGTTTGATATTGTTTCTACCGAGTAGCCTTTGATTTCGTTTTTTACATAAATAGCCTCACATCCAGCCCTTTTGAAGCCCCTTTCAAATCTTAGTAGCCATTTACTCTTTAGTTTAGCTTAGACATTTTTTTTCAAGCAACCACGTCTCAGTGAGGCAAATTAATCTGGGCTTAAATTTCAAACGTTCGAAGACTTCGGCGACGATTTGTCGAAAGCAAAAAGTAGTCGAACGCGACAATTGGCCGTAATTAGAAAAATCGACAGTTCGTAGAGCGCGACCCTTCAAAAAACATCAGAACTCGTGACAAAGCATCAGCAGGAACTGACAACTTATTTCGCATCGCTTCAAGAATCAGTATATGCCGCCAAACCTACTGTTGGACATAACCGCCTGCTGCGAGTCATCGCTAAATTGAAATAGTCCAAAATTTCGCTTTCGTCTAAATGGCACTTTCAAATAGAAGTCGCCTCACGAGCTATTAGTTACAAGGAGAGATACGAACTCTGCAAACGTACGAATTCTGTCAATTAGGTTTGCGGGACGAAATCGGCAGTAGGTCAAAATCTGTTCTAGTCATTTTTCATAAAAGCATATTTTTTAAATCAGATTTTTGAAACTGTTTTGGCTGATAAAAAAAGCATCGAAAGTCACCGAAATCAATAAGCGTGTGAGGCTAATTAATAAAATGCTCATTACGTTTCAATAATTTTTCTTTTACTCATAGTATTTGTGCTCATTAGGAAATCAGCTATCAATCTTTCCATCTTGGCGATTAAATTTTTCCTGGTTACGCAATCAAAAATACAAAATACCTTGAATTTCCAATTTGATGATGATAAATTCCAGATTTGTAGCTTCTAAGATCTTCACTCATACGAACAACGGAAACCACGGGCCCGTTTAGCATAATGTCCAGCTTCATCAATCTAGTGTTGAGCGAGGGTAATTTGTAAGCCCTTGATCCGAAATAAAGATCGTTTTTGAACGACTTATGGTACTGTAAAATACAGCGCGTGGGACAACTTTTATTATCAAAAAAGCTAGGGAGAATTGAACTCAAGAAGTGTGCAGCTGTTGCCTCTTTTCCCGGTATTCTACAGGCAGACTAATGATAAGTTAGAATTTTATAGATACATTTTTCTTAATCGCGATTTTCTTTACCTGAGTCTTATTCGAAAACCAATGAAAAAGATAAATTTGTTCGATTTTAAACTCAATGCGTCAATCGCAAAATGTTACTTGGGTTAGAAAAAAACTCAAAAAGTTCAAAGTTTTGTAAAATATCCAAATTACCCCCACTTACAGTTTTTTTTCAAAAAATTCAAAAATGTTTTTCATATCAAAACAACTTTTTTGTTTCATTTTTTCTGAGTATTTGAGTTATCGTCTCTTTTGCTGCTTTCCTTCGGAATCATGATTTGCCATCTTTAGTTTTTCCAGAAAATCAGCATTGAAAACACTGCAAGAGTGTTTTTAATTCAAATTTAGTGCAAAATTGCGAGTATTCGTTGAAAGAGACATCGCAATATTTTGAGAAAAGTAGAACAAAAACATTGATTTTTGTGTTTTAGGATAAAATACAAAAATAAAAAACAACCCATTGTATGGAAAAATGCTAAACTGCCATTTTCATACAATCCACTTTCTTCTATGGAGTTGTATGGAATTGTATTTTTTTGAATTATTGCTCTTTCCGCAAGGTTACTCTTCATATATAACCGTGTAAAATCAATAGCTCGTCCTCAAAATCCAGTTTTGTTGGTGGCAACCTCCCGGAAGGGCAAAAAGTTTCTTACCATACAATTGCTTAAAACTCCATAGAAGAAAACGAATTGCATGAAAATGGCATGGAATGGAACTGTATAATTTTCGTTTTATATTTTTGTATTTTAGCCTAAAACACAGAAACTACAAAGATCGGCACGAGACCGAGTTTTCTGGAATATTTTGATCTGGTGTTTGGAATGAATCAGTGTCTGTCTGCCTGTATGGTTGGCATGATTTCTTGTCTCCAAATCGTCCCCCCGTCGGTAGCCCATGCTGCACCCAATACTCCCACACAGAAAATGGATCATTACCACTACCTACGAAAATAGTTTCATAATACTATTTAAATACCACAGATACAATCCGATACAGTTCTTTGTTAAGTTTCTGCGTAAATAGCACAGATCATTGCCATCTGACTACAGTTTTACAAACATAATTTTGTCCAGGTATTTTCAAAGAAAAAAAAACGCTTCTGTTGCTTTCTAATATCAGAAAATCAATAGCATCGTGCAATATCTGAACATGAAACCTTTTCATATATTTTATTTCTTTATCAGTGGCTTAGCAATTTTTAAACTGAAATGTGTTTTTTAAAGCGCTGGTCCCAGCCAGGGGAGGATATATGGTTTTATCGAGGAGGAGAGTATTGCGGTTTTTCAACAAAAAAATTGAAACCCCCTCCCAAATCTGCCCCTAGTTTCAACGGTTTCAATTTTGTCAAGCTGTGTCAAAACCATGAAAACAGGCTATTTTGGATACACCGTTTTTTGAAATTATTGTATAGTTTAAGCCCAAAAGTTACTGGTTTTGGATCCTTTCCACTTCCCATCCACATTTGAATTTCAGTTTTGTAAAAAATTATTGTAAGGTTGGAATAATACAATGGAAGATTTGATGACAAGCAAAACATTTATTGAGAACAGATTTGACTTAAATATTCAAATAACGCGTTCATGCATAATGGATAAATTGAGCTATCTCTCCACCCGCGAAATGACCAATTGAGCTCTGTCAACCTCGAGCAAAAACGGTTTAACGCTACAGAAGACGTTACCAAATACAGGGAAATGGCTGACTTGTTCATAGCACACAATAACTTGACCGACTTAAGTTTGATTTCATTGAGTGCAGCGAAAAAAATTTGAAAAATAAAGCAATCATTGCAAATTAAAAAAAAAATTATAACCTTTTATCTGAATACCAAGAAACGTTCGCCGCAGCATCATAGAAAGGTACGCAATCGCTTTTTTCATTAAGACAGAAAGAACGGCTTTATGTGCATGAGTGTTAGCGATTTTTATATTTTTCAAAGTTGTTTTTGAAAATGCTATTATAATTGTTAGTATTCCGCAGTTGTAGGAGAATCTGGCTCATGATTTCATATCATTCATACTAATTTCAAGTAGGCTTGTCTCAAGTGCCTATTGAGCTATCTCGCCCCCCCCCCCCTCCTGAAGCGAGAAGGGGGGAGATTGCACAGTTGATCCGCCATAATTACTACACGCATAAAAAAAAAAAAAATAGAAATTGTTTAATGAGGTGACGTGAAAAAGAGCCCTAGTTTTTGGCATTCGCCCGCGATTAAAAAAACACTTCAAATCATTTTGTAAGATATTGCAAACTTGAGAATCATTGGAACTCGAAAAAATTATAAGATTGTTTTTCAAAAACCAAACAAACGCTGCAAATCAGACGCCTTAACTTCCTTGCCCATTCAAAAAATGGTTTTCGTTTCCAGGCTTGGTGTTTCAATTTTTGAAGCGTGAATGAAATATTTGCGCACTGTGATTTTTTTCAGACTAATTTTGACTTTCAATCAGCTAATTAGATGGATATTTTAGCAGAAAGTGAGAGATATTGTTTCGATAAGCTTAAAAATTTTGAAAAATTAGGTGTGATCTTTTTTGTTTAAGCTATGAGGATTTCAAAAATTGGTATTTGAGTCTGTTTAGCATAGTTAATGCGTTCAAAATGTAACACTTTCCATAAATGCGTAGCAAAGGCGTTGAGTTAATCCAGAGCAAAAATCATTCCAAACTAAATTGCGGCGAACTAATTGGTACAAATGGTGCGTTAAACAGCGTTTTAGATTTTAGATTTAATCCAAAATGCAGTCGCATTTTCCCCCTCTGGGATTCGGCCCTCTTACCACCCAAAAGGTCTCCGTTTGCTAATTTTGTACGACATCCGTTTTCAACTAAAAGACATCCGTAAAAATTTTACAATAAGTAACTAAGTACGTCGTTTTGCCATGTTTTTTCAGAGTTTTAACTGCGGGAGAATATTTTCTATAGTTACATCCTTTGCCAATACAATTTTTAATACATCTTTTAGAAAACACTTACTACATCCTTCGCCAATACAGTTCAAAGCAGTTTGGGCCGAGATCCGAACCGAGCCATTATTCGGGTGTTTGATGCAGATTCGGTCGCTGATTGCAGAAGCTACAGCAACGGCCCAGCATGAACCACAATTACCCTGGTCGTAGATTTCCCAAACCGTGTCGCAATGAGACCATTTAAACCGAGCGTCAAAAATGTCAGGAACTTCCAAGAAAGTTCTTCTAAAGTTGCTCTGATACAGATTCGTTAAGAATCCAAACTCGGAATTTTCTTTTACAGGAAAACGATCAATTGCATGATCAAAATTTGAGTCGGGGTAAGAAAATGGATACTTTTTAGCTTCCCAAGTACTTTTTCCCTGCTCCCGATTTCTGTTAACGTAATTAACAATGTCATCTTGCGATAATGAACTTACTAATTGGATTAAAAAAGCAAAAGAAACAATTATAAACATTTGATTAACCAATTCAGCAACTGTGATTTGTACCACATCAGAATGACATTACAATCAGAATGACATTACAATCAGAATGATATTACAAACAAAGTGATTTATTTATTTTGAAACTTGGAGGTTGAATTTGGTATTCAAGTTTAAATCTGATTTGATATTTGTCAAAGATTAAGAAATTTGGCTGTTACGATTGTTACGGACAAATAGGATATAGATAATTGGATTTGACTCCATAACCTTCACGTTATATTATATTATATGACCTTCATGATATTTTGCTCAATTTCTAGTTTTCATCATCTGATCTCTTTTTTAACTCAGAAAATAATTAAAATGGACTAAAGACACTATCTAAAAAACTTCGTCAATATTTTTAGCCAAAAATACCTAACTTGTCTTTAAACTTCTGGCCAGAAAAGTTGAATGAGTAGTTTAACGAAGCACAGATTTTCTAAACTACCTTTCTAGTATAATTTCTGATTTGAGATTGACAAAATCATGGACAGTTTAGTTTTAAAAAAAGCAATTATTTCTAATCCAAATTCTGATCACAAAACTACTAAAACTCTTTTTTTTTATAATCTCAAAGAGGAGACAATATAGGCGACTATGTTGGCAATATTGGCGACTTTGACCAACTTAATCGGTCCAAAAACTGTTGTTTGAGATTAATCATATTTTTTATATGGTTCTTAACGTGTTCAAACGAGTAAAAATTTAATTTCAGTCGTCAAATGAACAGTTTTAAGTTAATTAATTTCGTTCAGATTCGTTGACCGCAAAAAAATATTGCCAACAACTTGGCATTAACTAAAAAACAAACAAGACTGCTCGTATCCGGACGAAGCCCTGAAAGTTTTGACTGCCTTTTAACGTTTATGGAGGAGTAATAACATAAACAACAAAAAACAATAAAATGTAATAAAACAAAATGAAAAATTATTTTTTCTAAAATTTGAATTTTTTTAATGAAAATCATCCCCCCACACGCCATATAAAGTAAAAAAAACAATAGATTTTGCTCCTTGTAACAAATCAATTATGGTAAATAAGCTTCTTTCCACCAATTTGGAACGATTTCTAAGACAGATTAAATCTCCGCTTACGCGTTAATAGCGCGAATTATATCGCGCGTTAATTGTCCCAAATTGATCAAAATGACCAAAATGCCAATCTTTAAACCCTCATAACTTTACGAAAAATAATCACAAGTGAAATATCTTTTCAAATTTAAGCTCAGGTTAACAAAAGCTTTCGAATGATATAGATATATTCCGTCCAAAATGGCTAGTTAAAAAGTCGAAATTTGTCTGAAAAAAAACCCACCCGAACACAAATATTCCGTTGATTTCGTATCGAAAGTCGGAACAACAATTTCAACATGTGGAACTCTGAAGTTGAAGTGATAATTCCGAGTAATTTTTATCATTGTATTGAAAACACGATTGAATCAGAGTGAAGGCCTACAGTCTATTAGTTATACCGACAGAACATATATGCAAATATGAAATTTTTTATTTTTTTTTCTCTCTCTCTCTTATTACGCATTATTTGCATGGATGCCGTTATCACTTTGTAGCATGATAAATGAGAACAAATCAGATTCGTCTACCGACCACTGAAAATGGGGAATAGTTTTGTCTTCCTGTAGGCTTCAGTTTTTTTGTACTTTTTTTTCACGCAGAATCAGTTGCGACAACACGAACTATCATCACAATGGGATGACAGATATACCATTATGAAACTTGTTAAACTTTCGATCTGAGCAAACTCAAAAAACTTCCATTAAAGCTAGTCGAAAGTTTTGTTTTTTAATCGTTTTGACGTTTGATAGATAAAAAATGGTCAATTCATTGTCACAAAAAGTTTTCAAAATGTAGAAAAAATCTGCAAAACTTTTAAAAACAACTGTTTACAACTGGAGACAACTTTAGTCAGCTATGATTAAATAACTAAAAACAGTTTTCCGTTTTTTAAAATAGCCCACACAAACAACAGAAAAAATTTGTTTTTCTAGTGTTTAATTAATGTGGCTGAAAGTTTCTGAGCTACTAGAAGGGCAACTGTCTTATGTAACGGTTAGTTGCTGAAAATCATTTGGATTTGTTGTTATGACAAACGGACCATTTTTGATGAATGCAACAAGAAAAAGTTTTTCAAAGATATTGTTGATGTTGAATAATTGAGCTTCCACATTACAAGATAAGAACCAAATTTTATAGGGTCTTGAGATTCGACAAATATATCAAGATGCTGGAATTGCATTCATTATATAAATATATCGAGGAGAAAGCTGGAATTATAATTAACGTAATATTTAGCTTCGAAGCTTTTGTCAATTCTAGTTGAATGGAAGCAAACTTACTAGGTCCACTAAATCTTTGTTAGAAACATTGCACCAGTTGAAAATTCATATTTTTGATAGAACTTTTTTGTATCATTCGAAAGTTGTGTCCTGAGCTCAAATTTGAAAAGATATTTCAGCTGTGATTATTTTTTGTAAAGTTATGGGGGTTTAAAGATTGCAATTTTGGCCAATTTGGGACAATTTACGCGCGATATAATTCGCGCTATTAACGCGCAAGCGGAGAGTTAATCCGTCTTAAAATCGTTCCAAATTGGTTAAAAGAAGCTCAATTGCCATAATTGATTTATTTCAAGGCGCGAAATCTATCCTTTCAAAATAACAAAAACGACTATAACAAGAGTCTAGTAACGCTGAACAAGATAACAAATTAACCCTAAATCAAGATGAGCCGATTCGTTCAAATTTCAAGGCAACTCTTAAAATCAACTCTATAAAGACCATTAATTTTATCAGGAGTCTAATCAAAATTTTGGAGTTTGGAGAACAATAAGAGGCGCGCAGATAGTTTTTGAATGGGTATTTTATTTGACACAAACAATATATTTAAAGATCAGATTAAAAAACTCAAAAACAGCAAATCGAAATCGAAATCTATGTTTTCGCGATAGAGATTTCCTTGTAACTAAAAACGAAAATTTTTCCTGGTAACAAACTAAAATTTTATGAGATCTTTGATATAGTTGTTCAAAAAACTTGAGTATTATTCTATGGAACAGCAACGATTTCCCAAACCGTGTCGCAATGAGACCATTTAAACCGAGCGTCAAAAATGTCAGGAACTTCCAAGAAAGTTCTTCTAAAGTTGCTCTGATACAGATTCGTTAAGAATCCAAACTCGGAATTTTCTTTTACAGGAAAACGATCAATTGCATGATCAAAATTTGAGTCAGGGTAAGAAAATGGATACTTTTTAGCTTCCCAAGTACTTTTTCCCTGCTTCCGATTTCTGTTAACGTAATTAACAATGTCATCTTGCGATAATGAATTTACTAATTGGATTAAAAAAGCAAAAGAAACAATTATAAACATTTGATTAACCATTTCAGTAACTGTGATTTGTACCACATCAGAATGACATTACAATCAGAATGACATTACAATCAGAATGATATTACAAACAAAGTGATTTATTTATTTTGAAACTTGGAGGTTGAATTCGGTATTCAAGTTTAAATCTGATTTGATATTTGTCAAAGATTATTAAGTTTGGCTGTTACGATTGTTACGGACAAATAGGATATGTGATAATTGGATTTGACTCCATAACCTTCACGTTATATTCTATTATATAACCTTCACGATATTTTGCCCAATTTCTAGTTTTTATCATCTGATCTCTTTTTTAACTCAGAAAATAATTAAAATGGACTAAAGACACTATCTAAAAAACTTCGTCAATATTTTTAGCCAAAAATACCTAACTTGTCTTTAAACTTCTGGCCAGAAAAGTTGAATGAGTAGTTTAACGAAGCACAGATTTTCTAAACTACCTTTCTAGTATAATTTCTGATTTGAGATTGACAAAATCATGGTTATTTTAGTTTTAAAAAACGCATTTATTTCTAATCCCAGTTTTGATCATAAGACTACTAAAACTCTTTTTTTAATCTCAAAGAGGAGACTTCTCCCAATTTAATGCCAAATTGTTGGCAATATTGGCAACTTTGACCAACTTAATCGGTCCAAAAATTGTTGTTTGAGAATAATTGTAATTTTTATATGGTTCTTAACATGTTCAAAGTAAAAAGTTAATTTCAGCCGTCAAATGAACAATTTGAAGTTAATTAATTTCGTTCAGATTCGTTGACCGCAAAAAAATGTTGCCAACAACTTGGCATTAACTAAAAAGCAAACAATTTCAACATGTGGAACTCCGAAGTTGAAGTGATAATTCCGAGTAATTTATATCAATGTATTGAAAACACGATTGAATCAAAGTGAAGGAAGGCCTACAGTCTATTAGTTATACTGACAGAACATATATGCAAATATGAAACAGGTGTTTTATTTTTTTTTCTCTCTCTCTCTCTCTTATTACGCATTATTTGCATGGATGCCGTTATCACTCTGTAGCATGATAAATGAGAACAAAACAGATTCGTCTACCGACCACTGAAAATGGGGAATAGTTTTTTGTACTTTTTTTTCACGCAGAATCAGTTGCGACAACACGAACTATCATCACAATGGGATTACAGATATGCCATTATGAAACCTGTTAAACTGTCGATCTGAGCAAACTCAAAAAACTTCCATTAAAGCTAGTCGAAAGTTTTGTTTTTTAATCGTTTTGACGTTTGATAGATAAAAAATGGTCACTTCATTGTCACAAAAAGTTTTCAAAATGTAGAAAAAATCTGCAAAACTTTTAAAAACAACTGTTTACAACTGGAGACAACTTTAGTCAGCTATGATTAAATAACTAAAAACAGTTTTCCGTTTTTTAAAATAGCCCACACAAACAACAGAAAAAATTTGTTTTTCTAGTGTTTAATTAATGTGGCTGGAAGTTTCTGAGCTACTAGAAGGGCAACTGTCTTATGTAACGGTTAGTTGCTGAAAATCATTTGGATTTGTTGTTATGACAAACGGACCATTTTTGATGAATGCAACAAGAAAAAGTTTTTCAAAGATATTGTTGATGTTGAATAATTGAGCTTCCACATTACAAGATAAGAACCAAATTTTATAGGGTCTTGAGATTCGACAAATTTATCAAGATGCTGGAAT